CTTTGCGGCTGTTGCTGTGGGGGAATCGGAGGGTACGCCCTCCATCCAACTCAGCTACCGGGACGGACAACCCAAGGGCGGGCATTTTAACTCGCTCGAGAAAATAAAACCTTCTAGTCTAGCAGTCTCTGCGCAGTCACGTCCGCACACAACTACGTCGGATGTGAGCTGCAAGTGACACCAGGAGTGGAGTGTCGCGCGTGCCCGGTCCGCCGAGTGTCACTCCGCGGGCCGCCGAGCGTCACTCCCCGAGCCGTCGAGTGTCATTCCCCGAGCCACCGAGTGGACATTCCCCGGGCCGCCGATCGTCACTCCCGGGCCGCCTAGTGACATTCCCCGGACCGCCGAGCGTTACTCCCCAGGCCACCGAGCGTCACTCCCCGGGCCGCCGAGTGTCACTCCCCAAGCCGCCGAGTGTCACTCCCCGGGCCGCCGAGTGTCACTCCGCGGGCCGCCGAGTGTCACTCCCCAGGCCGCCGAATGTCACTCCCCGGGCCGCTGAGTGTCACTCCCCGAGCCACTGGGAGTCACTCCCCGGGCCACCGAGTGTCACTCCCCGGGCCGCCCAGTGTCACTCACCGTCCAGCTCTGCCGCGGCGCTGCCGGGAGTTAGCCTTGCTCACCCACTCCGGCATCAGCGTCCTACGGGCACCAATCACGGGCGGCGTCACACACGGGGGAGCGCCGCTCGGTCTGAAGGGCGGCCTGGAGACGCGAGCGCGGCCGGCGCGCGCTCTCACAGCGACGTCAGGACCACTGAAACTGAGCTCGTAACGGGAGGAACTGAAGGAGCCCAGGAAAGAACTGGCTTACAGGCAGACAGAAGATGTCGCCCCGGCTACGGCTGAATACACCGACTGATACATGGGCTAGTTCATGTCGGCACGGCTTTAACTGAACGCACTCAGAAACTCATGCACACATTCTCAGCAAGTGCTTGGCTTCTAGTTACCAAGACTAGCCAGCAGCATGGGCTCCGGACAAGCGTTCACTATTGCCTCGCTCCTCCCCCCCCCCCCCCCCCCTCTCCATCACGCATCACCACTCACATGCAGCCAGTGTTCTTGTCGACGTTCTTCATCTTGACCTTGCCGCCGTCGATGACGAACACCACGTCGTCGATGGTGATGGACGTCTCGGCGATGTTGGTGGCGATGATGATCCTTGCGCCGGCCGGGCGGCGGGCGCTCGAACACCTCACGCTGCTCGATCGTCGGCATCATCGAGTGCAGCGGCAGGATCAGGAAGCGCTCGGCTGTCGGACAGGGCACGGTGGCAGATCAGGAAGCGTTCCACTGCCGTCAGGACACGGTGGCAGATCAGGAACAGTTCCACAGTCGGACAGGACACGGCGGCAGATCAGAAAGACTTCCACTGCCGTCCGGGCATGGTCACAAATCAGGCAGAGTTCCACCGCCGGACCAAGCCCGGTAGCAGGTTGTGTAGCGCTCCCGCTGATCCTGGGTAAGAAGCAGTGGCGGGACAACGGGGTCCGCTGACAACGGGCAGCCGCCGGTCCGGTCAGACGCCCGCGGCTCGTCGGATGACAGGACGCAGCCTTTTCAGATGTCTTTGTTCAGCGACGTTGAAGCTTCGGCTTTGTTGGGCGTGGTCTACAATTCGCCGAAGGATATGCCATGCACTTATTGGTCGTAGAGCTCTACGTCACTGAGTGCAGTGTACACATAGGAGTGGTAATAGCGTGATGTGACAAATTTCAACAGGGAGCGAGCTGCGAAGCTACGGACCAGAAGCAGACCCACTGCAAGTCAATCCAAATCGAATCGCTATAAAAAGGCAGCCCGTGTAACGGGCAGTTACATCGAGAGACCACCCTGTCCTCCAGTCAGCATGTTCGGCCGCATGTAAAGAAATGCACGGGACAGTCATGAAGCGTCGCACGGCGTCAAGACGCATCTGTTTCCGTGGGGCCGCAGAGTAAGCTCCCTCCCCTCCCCCTCCCCTACCTCCGTTTCCCTCTACAGACCAAAGTTAGCTCACGGTCCATGGAGAAACTCAAAGATCTCGAATCCGCCGCGAGTTCAGCAGAAGTTATTCATTCAGCGCTGGCCTAATTCCCGCACACGAGTCCACCTCGTCAGCGCTGGACAGTCCCGGCTCGGCCGTCCGAGCCGCGGCGACACGGCGCCACGGCCGGCCGGACCGGAGCCGCGCCGTGACTGACGTCCCATCGGACGCGCCAATCAGCATCGCCGGCGCGCCGTCGGTCAGCAGGGGGCCGCTCCACCCGGCGGACACTTCCCTCGGCCGGACGGGGCGAGCGCGCCACGTCACGCCGCCGGCCGGCCGGACCGGACCGGACGGCTTGACGGCGGCGGCTGACGAGCGACGTGTCCGTCCGTCTCGGCCGGCTGCCCACTCCCAGGGGGTCGCCAGGGCTGCGCTGTGTCCGGCTTATGCCCCGGGGTTTGTAGCGAGCCTGCGCGGACGTGCAGGCGGGCGGGCACCGGCGCGGCTGGTCCGGAAGGCGTAGAAGCGAGAGATGATACGCATGCCGACTCCGTTGGTCAGCATGGCCCATCTGGTGGGTGCGTCAGGGGGAGACAATATGCTGGCGTGGCCGGCCCGTCAGCGAGGGACAGTGGGGACGAGGCCGGTCCGGCGGGTCTGTCAGCGAAGATAGGGAGAAGAGGCCGGACCGGTGGGGCTGTCAGCGAGGACAGCAGGGCGAGGCCAGACCGGCGGGGCTGTCAGCGAGGACAGCGGGACGAGGCCGGTCCGGCGTGTCTGTCAGCGAAGACAGGGAGAAGAGGCCGGACCGGCGGGGCTGTCAGCGAGAACAGCAGTACGAGGCTGGACCGGCGGGGCTGTCAGCGACGACAACGGGATGGGGGTGACCCAGCCGGCTCTGGTCCGCTGGGCTCCTGCTGGACGTTCCGTGGCGGGTGACTGAGATCTGGTGGACCAGTCCGGGCCGGTGCGTCGAGGGACCGGCCAGAGACGGCTCGGTCGAAAAACAGGCCAAAAGTCGCGGAGCACGGCTTCATTGGCGTAGGGCAGAAGTCTGACCGCGAAGCGTGCCGAACTGAATGGTGTCGATACGTATCCCCTAAACGGGCCTAACCTTGCGACAGCTGACACGTAATGTGACGACGCCCGCGCGAATACGGCAAGCCGAGCGAGGACGGACGCTGCCCGGACCCTCGTCACCACACACGATTCGGCATTCTCCCCAGACGGCAGACTCACCGTCTCCGAGTACCGGTTCCCTGCGCCCCAGACGGCACACTCTCACCGTCTCCGAGTACCGGGCCCCTGCGCCCCAGACGGCAGACTCGCCGCCTCCGAGTACCGGTTCCCTGCGCCCCAGACGGCGACTCACCGTCTCCGAGTACCGGTTCCCTGTGCGCCAGACGGCACACTCACCGTCTCCAAGTACCGGGTCCCTGCGCCCCAGGCGGCACACTCACCGTCTCCGAATACTGGTTCCCCGCGTCCCAGACGGCGCATTCACCGCCTCCGAGTACCGGGTCCCTGTGTCCCAGGCGGCACACTCACCGTCTCCGAGCACGGGGTCGCCGCTCAACGCCTTGTGCACCTTGCCGATCTCGTCCCAGCCGGAGAGAAAGACGAGCACGGCGCCTTGCTCCGGCTCGTGGCGGCAGATGTGACGCAGCAGCGCCACGTACAGCTCCGGCTCGAACTGCTCCGAGTCGGGGTGCGCCAGGGCGGAGAGCGCCGCCGGACTGTAGCGGCCCTCCGCCGCCAGCTGCCTGCGGCGAGCGGATGGCCGTCCGCGGCCGACGGTCAGCAGGGGCGCTCGGCTTCAGTAGAAGGGAGCGGCGAGAGAGGAGAAAGCGGCGTGGCGGAAGGGAGGCGAGAGAGAAGCGGAAAGGAGGGTGGAACGAGGTGATTGGAAGAGGTGAGTGTGGCAAAAACGGGTGGGGCAAGAGAGAAAATAAGATAGAAAGGGTGCATACGTTCTGGAGCAGATGTGGAGCAAAGCACAGCCAAAAGAGATACACACAGGTGCATGACAGAAATGACAACAGCGAGAAATGGGGAGGGAATCCACCCGCCCCAGTTCGAAACCGCCTGCTGCGGGTTACCAAGCCATTACACGACATCAACGGGGGGGGGGGGGGAGAGAGGCACGACAAACACACGCCTCTCTCCGCCCCGCCAAATCGAACCCGGGGGAGGATGCTGGCGCCTGGCATGAGTCTCAGAAGAGATCACGGCCAGCAGGACAGCCAGCGGGTCACAGTAGACCTCGCACGGCGCCGCGGACGGAGCCGCCTCATGGGACTTCAACCCTTCAATGCACTGGTGAGGTTCCGCTTAAGACATCTCATCGTACCGCAATTGGCATTACAGTGGTGATGCGACTTAATCACGTGTCGGCAGCAGGCGGCCCGGAGCCGCTGCCGCCCGCCCACGGCGACAGCTCTCCCGACGTGAACGTCGGCCGCGCCGGCGGCGTCGCCTGCAGGTAATGGGGCTGGCAGATACGACACAACAGCCCTAGTCACGCCGGTCAGCCGTGGCGCGGCTCGTCCGCGCGGGGGACGCGGTGAACAGTTCAGTGTCTCGCGGGAGCGGGGGCGGTCGGTGCGGCGGGACGGTAGGCGGTGGCGGAGATCGATGGATGAGCATAATAAAGGAAGTGGAGGGAAAGGCTCAAGGGAGGAAGATGGAGGGAGGACGCAGGAAAACAAAAAGGCAGAAGAAGAAGAAGATACAAAGGAGGAGGGAGGGAGGGGGAGTGTAAGAACAGAGAACGATGGACAGAGCGACAGAGACCCGAGATGGAGACGGAGACGGAGAAAGAAAGAGAAGAGAGCGAGAGCGAGAGCGAGAGGCGAGAGCGAGAGCGAGAAGAAAGAGAGCTAGAGCGAGAGCGAGAGCGAAGAGCGAGAGCGAGAGGCGAGAGCGAGAGCGAGAGCGAAGAGCGAGAGGGCGAGAGCGAGAGCGAGAGGGAGAGAGAGAGAGAGAGGAGAGAGAGAGAGATAGAGAGAGAGAGAGAGAGAGAGAGAGAGAGAGAGAGAGAGAGAGAGAGAGAGAGAGAGAGACAGAGACAGAGAACAGAGACATAGACAGAGACAGAGACAGAGACGAGACAGAGACAGAGACAGAGACAGAGACCGAGACATAGACAGAGACAGACAGAGACAGAGACAGAGACAGAGACAAGACAGAGCAGAGACGAGACAGAGACAGAGACAGAGACAGAGACAGAGACAAGACAGAGACAGAGACAGAGACAGAGACAGAGACAGAGACAGAGACAGAGACAGATACCGAGACAGAGACAGAGACAGAGACAAGACCTAGAGAGACAGAGACATAGACAGAGACAGAGACAGAGACAGACAGAGACAGAGACAGAGACCGAGACAGAGACATAGACAGAGACAGACACAGAGACAGAGAGACAGAGACCGAGACAGAGACAGAGACAGAGACAGAGACAGAGACAGAGACAGAGACAGAGAGACAAGACAGAGACAGAGACAGAGACAGAGACGAGACAGAGACAGAGACAGAGACAGAGACAGAGACAGAGACAGAGAAGAGAGAGAGAGAGAGAGAGAGAGAGAGAGAGAGAGAGAGAGAGAGAGAGAGAGAGAGAGAGAGAGAGAGGAGAGAGAGAGAGAGAGAGAGAGAGAGAGAGAGAGAGAGAGAGAGAGAGAGAGACGGCGAATGGCAGCGGGAGGAGACAAACGGCTGTGACGATATTGGCTGCCTACCACGAACGGCGAGCATCCTGGCCTCCCCCGCCCGCCGCCGGGAAAATAACGTCAACAGAGCCAACGAGGGCTGGCTGTGCTGAATGTGTCTGGCATGCTATCGGCCGGCAGAGGGGAATTCATGCATGACGTGCTGCCGCGAGAGCCGACTGTTACGGCTGAGCTGGCCAAAACGCCGCACGTCCAGAGGCAAGCACAAACGGAACATGAAAGTGTGATACATGGGCTATGTCATAAAAAACCAATGCGTTACAACTGGTAGCAAAAAGATTGGAAAGGGGTATCAAAATTATGAAAGGCACTTCTTCCAAGCAATGCCATAGGCGGAATGTCACATTTCGTCAAGGTCTGGGGCATACCTTTTCGTAGCGTGTTCCGTGGCCCAACACATCAAGTGCATGTTATGAATGTAAGTCATATCGCCCAATACGACCACAAAAAATATGTCCTCATAACGCCAACTGTACGAAACCCACGCGTTCACCATGATTTTTCTCAACCGTCTCCCTCGCTTTTCTTCTAAAAAATCGGCCGCGCAGTTCCCATGAAATATGATCGCGGTGATTTCAGGGGTAAAAGATGTTTGCTTGACAGCAGTTTGATTACGCTGCTGCCGTCAGAGGAACAGCCCCGTCAATCTACGCTGGTCTTCTATGGTCAATCTACGCGTCCAGTAACAAAGCCGGCCAGGGGCCGACGGCGTGCAGGGCGTGGGCGGGACTCACTGACCGCCGATTTCAACAGGGTTCAAGGTCATCTGACAAGGTCATCAAGGTCTTCAAGGTCAAGGTCACGTATCGGCTGAAGATTCCTACGGCATGAAAGGCGCTGCTAGCGGGCCGTGTGGTCACATCGAGTAAATCCCGCGCGCCACTCAGCAGTCGCCCTGTGACATGCACCATGCCAGTGGTTAGAAGTGGCAAATATCGACCAACAGCGGCTCCTAACGGGTAATCAGGACTTGCGTGTCTGTGGTACAACAACCGGGCAGCCAATGCCAGCAAAAGCAACTGCGTGAGACACCTCCGGTGTCACGCAGTTGACACCTGGCTTTCGACACGCTTTGACACCTGGCTTTGACGGCTTTGACACCTTAGGTGTCAAAGCCGCTTCATGTTTCGCCTCTTGCGTCACAACCAACCCAGCTCCGGGCACCAACGCTCTGCTCGCTTCGGTAACACAGGCACTACAAATACTGCCACTGGACGATGAATAAGTGAGCCAACCCGACACCCTGGTGCCCCAGGTTCAATTGTGTTTAACCGTCGCTACCTCCGTGACACACTCATTCCACGTGTCATCTCCCGGGCAGCGGTCATAGTACAGTGTCAAGATCACAACACAAATGCAATGTCGGGTGTCCGTCATCGAAAATGTCACTGCTCGCACTTAAGTCACTTGTCCTCTACCGCGTGACAATCACCGAACCTCAGCCCCCACGGCCGTCAGTGACGGCACAGTTGTGATGATGCACGCATCAGACGTTTCATCACTTTCCAGAGGTGACATCTCTTCGGTGATGGGATCCCTGCCAGAGCTGCTGCACGTGGTATCTCATGTGCCCTGCTGTTCAATTTCCTCGACCCTTCTCCTCTGGCAGACGGTATCTCTCGCGCTGCGGTAACAGACCACGCGCCGCTCGCCCTCGGCAGAATAAAAACACTGACCGGAAATGTGGACGGAGGAACACCACGACGAAAACGGAGAGTAAAAACGTAACCCAACACAAATCCCACGATTTTTCGCGAACTGCGGCGTAAAACAAGGTAGCCCATCACTCTGATTAGATCTGGCAAGAGGAAACTCTCCGCTGGGGAAGTGCAAACCACGGAGATGAGACTGCGGAACAGCCGCATATCAAAACATCGCAAATGTATGGCCTAGTTTCGTGGGTCTCGGAGGCTGAACTGCTCATCCACAACACCATTTAAAGTTGAAGATGAAACTGCGTGAGATGCAAAAAAAAACGAAGTCGTACGAAACCTACAGAAGGTATTCATATGGGTGTCTTTCAGCAGCTTTGTGCTTTTTGACAGACAAATGCTGTAATGC